GGATCATCACACATTTCAATGAAAGCCATAGATTAATCAATGCGCCAACATATTCCAAAGGATTGATATGTAGGAATCCATCAACACTGTCAGGATCGTCAGATTTGATAACGATTTCGCGCATCGAGAAACCGGCTTCCACCATGGTTTCACGGGCAACGCGCCAAAGGAAACTGAAATCTTCGCTCCAACCACCCAAACCGCCCATACTGGCATCCGAATAAGTTTCACAGGCTCTACAAAAAGGCTTGGAGACAGGAGATGTTTGCTCTTGCAATGGCCCAACGCGTTATCACTACTGACGAAAAGTCGCCTTGCTTTTGGGAATTTTCGCTCGTGTTTGACCCAACATTAATTGTTCAACGCGCCGAGCTGTTGACTTGGATGTGGCGAACGGCATCCGAATTCTTCGCTTATCCTGCTATCATTCCTCACATTGTGGAGGAATTTGAGCGACTAAAACGAGAGCTGATCTGTGTCTGAAGGCTGGATGATAGTTGTGTGGATATTCTCTGTTGAAGTCTCGATATATTCCGCGCAGTTGTCACCTGTCATACCGACGCACTTTGGCCATGGACCTTGACTATTAGACATACCGATCATGGGCATGGACACTATCGCACCACTCGCCTGAGGAGCGGAGATAAATGATGGTCCCAAAGCTCAGTCCAAGTTTCCACCAAAACAAGGTTGGAACCAGACCAAACTTCTTTGCTATTTACACACAACAACAATCCTATTTCATGATGTCTGCGCTGCTCATCAGAAGTGGCCACCAACCATGGGCTCGAATGACGAAAAATCACAAGAGATGGCTTTGAAATCAACAAGGACTGCACCTGAGCACCCTCAGGAAGGTCTGGAAGCAACAACCCGCTCAAATTCTACCACCCTATTGACGGTTGACCTTGTGAAGGACAACCCCTGTGAACACAAATTCTCCATGTTGTAAAGCATATTTGTCTTGTTTCTTTCTCTGGAAAAGATACAGCAGACCGAATTTCTTGGTCTACCCTTCCAAATCCCCACCAACAGAGTGGGAGCGCCAATCTGCCCATTGACAGATGACTTGAGAGAATTGCATCCAATTCTTTCCGTGGAAAAGGTACCCACAAAATACCGCTGTATCCCAGGAGAAATCCTTGCATCTTGTTTGTGAGAGGGGCCAGGGCGTCGTGTTCGGGGCCAATTGTAGTTGGTCACAAAGTGTCCGGAGGGTTGGCCGGCAAGAGAAGCTGCAGTCTGGGAACACCCGTCGGCGGTGGTGAGTTCCGAGAGGGTGGTGACTTGGAGGTATTGGCGGCACCAGTTGAGCCACAGCAAGTCCTCCTGATCGACCAAGGCATCGATGAAGATGTCCATCAAGAGACGATCGTTGGCACAGTGGAGGGACAAGGGAGGTGAGGAGATCTCAACTCTGATGCCCAATGAGTCGAGCTCGATCCAAACCCGTTTGAGCCATGTTTCGGAGGCAAGGATCCCGGTGTTGGTGGGTTCTTGTTGAAGAAGGGGAAAGGAGGTGCCCGTTTTGAGTTGGTGGGACTGTAAGTTGGCCTCCAGGTACTGGCTGGTCTTGGTACGGTTGGTCGAATGGCGCATCAGAACACTGAGATGGTGGAAGACTTGAAGGGCGAAAGGATGCGGGATACCCAATCCCTGGTATTTCAGAGGGGCAAAGACGACGACGCGGGGAAAGGAACGGCAAACCCCAGCTTTGTGCAAACTCGCTTGGAGGATCGGTGACATGATGGACACCCAGTAGGAGCGGCCCAGTGTGGAAAGGGGCATCACGTACTCCAAAGTTTTCAAGGCGGTTGCCTTGAGCAAGGGAAGAACATAATAACAAAGTAGATGTTGGGGACGGAACTTGGCTGCCCAGTTCTTGGCCTTCTCCCGCAGAGCAAGGTGTTGTGCTGTTCCAGTCTCAAGTGGGGCCATCATGACTCCCAGGGTCCTTTCAGCTTCATCTGGTTGGAGGCGTCGTAGTGTCGCCCAAAGCCCAGAAGGTTCTTGGAGGGTCAGTTTGCTAGACATTTCAGCCTTCCTTCAAAACACCCACGTGCCAGAGGACGGCCGCCATTTGAAATCAATCAGCCACCAGAAGGACTTCGCCGGGTTGATAGCTCCACCGGCGGCACTGATGCCACCCGACCAAAGGTCCAAAGCCGACTGTACCGAAGGAAGGAGGTCTTCGCCAGTCGTCTCCACGTTGTTGTTTGACTCCATGACATTGGTGTCATCAACAAAGCAGAAGCACAAAGCGAAGAACTCCTCGTTGGTGAGGGCAGTTTGGCTCTTATACCCAAATGCCTCCGCCTCCATGGCGTCAATGAGGATGGCACTGATCGCAACCCAGATGCACGGGCCTGCGCCATTGGCTGCCTTGACCGCAGCCCTGGAAGAGAACATTGCCAGTGGGCCTGAAGGTCCGATCCGAGTTGCCAAAGCCAGTTTGGACCCTGTGTTTAGCCTTTGCCAAGATATCAAACATTAGGTTGGTGACAGTGACAAGGGATTTTCCAAGGGAAAATCGTTGAACTCACTTTTGTGATTGAATCATCAATTCAAGCCAAACATTAATGAAATAGGAACAATTTCACTCAAAGTATACCTAACACAGGAGAACTATTGTCGTGAAAGTGTTGTACAGTCGATTACAAATTTAGATTGCAGAGAGTTTGTTCTGAGCGCTAAAAGCACTCACGATAGAGCACATTTTGCTTTATTCTAACACCCCGTGTTTGTCTTGGACAAGAATATGCAGCAAGGCAAAAGACCTGCAGGAGGCAAATGGATGCCAAGGACCCAGGTCGGCATCTATTTGGGTCCATCACCGCAACACTAAAGAAGTATTGCACTGGTTCTCAACCTCACAACAGGAAGAGTAGGACCAGAATTCCATGTATACATGGACTCCTAATTCCACTCTGTGAAGAATTCCACTCGACAAGAGAGACCCGAAGTCAAATGGATGGAAGCGGGCTACTCCGTGAACGGACAAAAGAAGGGTGAGAAAAGAGGAGGAACTGTATCACAATGGTTAGAGGGAGGCAGCCAAGGCTGACACTCCAACGGTTCCACCGCAAGTTGGATTCAACTTATCTATTGAAGAACCAAGGAACCGATTGATCCAAGATTCAGAGCGAGCTCCTCAACAATCTAAACTTCCAGATCACCTGTCCCCAGGGACACTTGAGCAAGAGCAGGCTCCGACAGGAGATGGCCAACCAGCTCCAGCTCCTGCCCCAGTGGCACCACCACCGTCACCAAGAGTGACACCTGCCGGAGATCGTCACCAATCAATTAGAAGATCAACAAGGCAGAGACAACAATCAGAGCGACTCATCGAAGTCATGACCACTGAGCTCGACGATCTGGACGTACCTTTTGAACTCTTTGCGATGGAAGCAACGTTTCCCAATCCAGTGGAACCTGATGATGTCCTTGCAATGAAGGCATTGACTGATCCAGACACAATGTATCTGCACCAGGCAAGAAGCAACCTGATTGGAAGGAGTTTCAAAAGGCAATGATGAAGGAGATGAGCGATCAGATGGATCAAAAGGTCATCAAACTCATCCCAAAGAAGGGCTTACCAAAAGGAGCGACCTTGCTACCTGCGGTATGGCAGATGAAGCGCAAGCGCGATATCAAAACTGGAAAAGTAAAGAAATGGAAAGCTCCGATAAATGTTGATGGATCCAGAATGGTAAAGCATCGAGATTACGATCTTACCTATGCTCCTGTAGCAAGCTGGGGAATCATCAAGCTCCTCTTGGCACTCGCTCTCACACTTGGATGGCACACAGTACAGCTCAATTATGTACTGGGGTTCACCCAAGCACCAGTTGAGAGGGAGCTGTACATGCAGATTCCGAAAGGGATAGACCTCAATGAACCATGTTGGCTAAAACAGCCAGTCTGGTCCTCAAAAATGTGACAAGCTGGTTCTGACCCAGCTACCGGTATATCCTATCTATTTGTCACGCCTGAAGACCACTTTTAATCCATATAAACCTGGATT